TGGCGGGGGGAGGCGCGGCCGGTGCCCCCGTGGGGTGGGTGCAGGTGCGCGCCGCCGCCGCCCTCCTCCCCCGGCCGGCCTGTCCTGCGGGGTCGCCGTGCCCCGGGGAGCGGAGCCTGCGGGCTTGGGGGAGGGGGGCTCTGCCTTTGACATGAAAAATCCCGGAGGAAGGCTTGGAGGGTTCCAAAGCCAGCCCCGGCTCGGCCCCCGTCGGATACAACAATGCCTTGGCGCTAGGCACTAGGCGTTGCGAGTCTCCATGGCGTGGGTATACTGCAAAAACCTTAAGTAAGTTGGGGAGGGGAATATTCAAGGTTCTGAAGCCACGTTTCGGAAGTGATGTTCACGCCGTATTTTCTTTGCCCAGACCTCACCTTTAAGCATTCTGTCACTGAACATTGAAAATAGCCCGCTCGTCCAGAAGCAAGCAGATTCCCCTTCTCTCGAAAATCACTATCCCAAGAAGAAATGTTTTCAGCGAAACCTTCTTCCCAGGTTAACTGCTGGCAGTGAATATTACCTTCCCATGCTCCCTCATGTTGTCTAGTACCATATTTTGAAGTGCTCAGAAGTACCGTGGAAGAGGGTGGGAAGGCTGAATTTGGGTGGTTTTGCTGGTGTCATGTTGTGCTGGTGCTGTTTCCTCTGGTGGTGCTTGCTGCTGTCATGTTGTCAACTGCTTTTTAGCATATGATCTTAATCTAGCTTGTGGGGTATTGCAGAGTGCAAGTGCTTCGTCAGTTGTACCACTCCCTACGCCCCCAAGTCTTTTGGGGTAGTTTTGAAGTTACTATAATGCCTCCTCATCTCTCTGTTTAAAGCATGTACAAGTGTCACTGCCCTTCCTTTGTTAATTGAAAACTGTGTTTTGTCTACAAAGAAGAATACAATAGTTGGCTTCATGATCTGAGTAATTTTAAGAGCGTCATGTGTACTGGGAGTCCTTGCCAGGATCTGCTCTTGCTCTGCCTCTTTGTAGGTGTGTGTATTTTGCAATAGGGGAGCAAGTATCTTGCCTCTTTTGCATCATTAATTGAGATGGGGGTGGAATACAGAGCTGATTAGCTGCAAAATTCTAAGGAATAGCTTGGAGGAAAGGAAAAATGGCAAAAAGCTTACTGAATGCAATGGCAGTCTTCTCTTCTTCCTCCTCCTCTGCTGCAATCCTTACCTGACCCTGATGCTGCAGCAGAGAGCTGGCCTGCTGTTGCTTCTCCCGAGTGTGTGTAGAGCAGGTAGGAGGGAGCAAAATGAAATTGTGCTTCACAGGTCACCGGCAGGTTGCACAAGTTGCTGTCATCTCTCTTTCCCCCTTTCCCCCCCCGCCTTTATTTTTTTGGTAGCTGTGTTAACCTCAGTCTTTAAAAGTTTTAAGTCCAGTTGCATTTCAGACAGCTAAACTGATTTTTTCATTAAATTCTCAAAAAAAAGACTTTAGATTATATTTCGTGAAATGCCTTTGGATACTTCTGTAATAACTTCAGTTTCTTGGGGGGGAAGCTTTTTTTTTTTTTGTGTGTGTGTCTTTCTGACAAGAGAGCTTGTTTTCACAATCTGGATCACTTGGAAATAATTCCAGATACTAGTTCAGTCTAAAAAAAAAACCTTATTACAGGATTATAGGATTACTGATGACACCTAAGATTGACATGTTCAGTCAGTGGATTCTTTAATTAGAATCAGCTGTACAATAGGTGTGTGCTTTATAAAGGACATATTTGCATTCATTCTAAATCCCAGGCTGCAATTTTGCAACTTCTTTGTATTTATCTGATAATTTATGACTTAGGTAAAGGGACAAGCCTTGACTAGAGATGGCTTTTCATGTTTAAAAGGTAATGTGTTGTACTTAACCCTCCGAATGCTTATAGTCTGCAGCTTTTCAGTAGCAGACTTGTTAACAGATTACCAGGAATATAGTGCAACCAAACTTTCTCAAATGTTTGTATTTTCAAAATAAGATATCATAGAGTATAGGAGCTGAAGTCTGACTTAGAAAGAGCTTAATGACTGTTGCCATAAAACTTGTAAGTGGTCCTGTGCACTTAGCAGTCTGGAAAATCTAATCTGTGATTGGATAGGCACTGTTGCGCATTTGATTAAAAGTTATTTAATGACAAGGGGAGGAAAATTAATAAATAGACATGAGCGCCTGCTGTTAATTTGTGATCACTCTTAAAAATTGGTTTTTCCTCAAAATCTGTTTGGGTAAGCATCGCACTTTTTATATTAAATGAAGTATAACCACCTTTTTGTGGTTTTGGTGATACTAAGTTCTAAAGTTAGAAACGTGAATGTCACTTGGAACTTATGTGTGTCCTCTTATGTTTAGTATGGAAAGTTTGTTTTGTCTTTACACAGTCACTCAGCCTGTATACGTATATACCTCTGTATTGCCAATCTTGGATCAATCTGTCCTGACTTGGTATGTGAGAGACCTGTTTAACTTACGGCTCCAGGATCTCTTAGCTGAATTACATTACCAGCAAAGATGTTTGTTATTAAGAGGTTATTCTGAACTTTATGTATGGTAGAACTTTTCTGTCAGTTGTGGAGGTCAGGGTGCTACTTTTCAAGTACATACCAGTCAAAGTGGCAGAATAACAGAAACTCCTAAGTTGT